GTTCTTGGAACTTCGGTGAAACGACATATAATAAACCAGTTTTACCAGAGATGCATTGATATAAACAAGAGTTGAGTTCCTGTGACATCTCATCGATGTTATAATGAAATGACGTTGAATGAAATGATGCTATTAGAGGCACTACCATATCACCCAAGTCAAAAAGGCCCTCTGCAGAGGTCCATGTACCAAGTAAATGCTCCGTGAAGGTGCACAGCACCATGTCCAGGGCTGGGCCTAGTCTGTGCCCATGTTGCAGGGAGGGAAACTAAGGCTCAGAGGGGGAATGACTCTGCCACACTCAGATGGCCCAGCGGGGTGCTCACCCTGCTCTTCAGCATGCAAAGCAGTAAAAAGGGCCCCCCATTGACTGGGGAGAAGAATCAATGTGGGCGGTATAAAGCCCATTGGTGAAGCAAGCAGAGCCAGCAGCCAGTCCCAGGCTCTCTGGCTGTGTCTTCAGGCACTTCACCTCCCCGGCCTCAGTGTCCCCATCCATAAAATGGGGATATGGCAGTCATACCTGCCTGGGTGGCCACTGCACGGGGCTCACAGAGAGCTGGCAGCTTAGGAAGCAAGGTCGGCAGGAGGGTGGGATGGGACCCACCCAGAACAGGTGGGAAAGACTCAGCAGTTACCTGGGGGAAGAGCATGGCAGACAGAGGGAACAGAGTGCAGCAGCCCTGGAATGGAAGGACCGCAGGAAGCGGGCTCCACCTTCCTTCTCCCCGCCCCCCCTTTAGCCTGAGCCAAACTTGGAAGAGCCAATTGCAGTCCAGGCAATGACACCCAGTGGTGTACTTGAGCCAGATCAAACTGGCTCACAAGCCAATTATGCCTATCTCTTCCTAGCTCAGGGCTCAGCGACATCACTTTCACTGCTTGAAATTGGCCACAGTGGGAGGATTTACACCATGGAAATTGAAATCAGGTCCCTTGCCCCAGTTGGTTAACCAGCACGCTGTGGCTTACACCCATGGACACCCTCTCACACTCTTAGTCCGTTCGGGCTGCTCTCACAAAACGTCATACACTGGGACTTATTAACAATAAACCTTTACTTCTCACAGTTCTGGAGGTCCAAGAACAAGATGCAACCAGAATCAGTGGTCTGGTGAGAGCTCCCTTCCTGGTTTATAAATAGCCATCTTCTCTCTGTGTCCTCACCTGGTGGAAGGAAAGGGAGCTCTCTGGGGCCCCTTTGATAAGGGCACTAATGCCATTGATGAGGGCTCCATCCTCATGACCTACTCACACCCCAAAGGTCCCATATCCTAATACCATCAACTTGGGGGGTAGGATTTCAACATATAAATTTTGGGAAACACATTCAGTGTATAGCAGCCTCTCACCTCTTCGGTGATATCACTTTCACAGCTTGAAACTGATCAAGGTAGGAGACTTTACACCACAGAAATTTGTCAAACATTACAAATCTCAGTTGGTTTATATCATTGCTTACACCCTGAGGGTGGCCTCTCTCAGCTGATATCTTTCCACCCACCTTTCAAGACAGACCAAACCCCTTGCCCTCAGGAGGGGCAAGGCAGGAGGCCAGACTGGAGGAGGAGGCAGATGAGAAGCAAACTTCACGACAGGGGGTCACAGCAGGGTAGGGAGAAAGTGAAGGCCAGGGGCTGCTATTTTATTTTATTTTAATTTAATTAATATTACTATTTTTTAATCCTCACCTGAGAATATTTTTCCATTGATTTTTAGAGAGAGTGGAAGAGAGAGGGAAAAACAGAGAGAAATATTGATGTGAGAGAAACACATCAATTGGTTGCTTCCCACACACCCCCACACCAGGGTCCAGGCTGGGGAGGAGCCTGCAACCAAGGTACGTGCCCTTGACCGGAATTGAACCTGGGACCCTTCGGTCCACAGGCCGATGCTCTATCCACTGAGCCCTAGGGTAAGGGGGGCTGCTATTTTAGATTGAGGAGTAGAGAAAGCCCCTCTCTGCCCTCTGTGCAGACCTGAGTATCTTCGTACCCCCCACCCCTGCCCCATCAGCCGCCTGAGTAACATTCTGTCTTTTCAAGCCCCAATCTTCTCTGTCACCCCTTCCCTCTCCTCCCAACCCCCTGAGTCCTTCAGGCCCTTGCTCAGCGGCCCCAAGTCTGTCCTGCTCCCTGGAATTTTCCTTGTGCAGGAGTTTCTTAGCTCCTGCTCATTTCTGCCCATTGAACTCACTTTTCACCCGAGCTCGGCCTCGTCGCCTGCTGGGCAAGTCTCTGGGCTCTTGTTCAAATGGACGCACATGGGGTGACTCGGAGGTTACCCCGTCCTTTTGGAGGCTCATGGTCACAGCTCACCCTGTCCACACCCAACCTCACTGCCAGTAAGGGGGCTCCTTAGGCTGGTGGCAGCCCCCTCCCCACCCCTGGGCAGACCCAAGGCTGTGTGCCCGGCATGAGGATGGGCTGGGGAGGGCACCAAGTGCCCATCCTATGGTCCAGCCTTCCTCGCTCTGCCCTGCCTCAGTTTCCCCATCTGCTCACCCAGCCTCTCCCAGAGGAGGTTCTGGAGAAGAATTTCCAGACACACAAGGTTAAGGCAAGCCACCACTCCTGTGCTCCGTCACATGACAGCATGTGCGTAGGAGATCAGGAAATTCTAGATCTTTCTCAGACCAACACCCCGCTCAGATTGCGCCTCCAAATGATGGCGATTCCTGCTGAGCCTGAACTGGGCACAGTTTTCATCCTCCTAGCACCTGGGAACCCCCCAAATCGAGACACCCCTGCTGGGCCCTCCCTACCTCCCACCCCAAATCCAGAAGCTGAAGTCAGAAGCCACATCCTCTGACTATAGATCATGGCGGGGAGGGGGGCTGGCAAATTTTAAAAGCTCATTAAGGCCTGACTTCTTTTTATAGATGAGGTTTTCCGCGTCTTTCCTTTCCTCCACCCCCTCCACCCCTCCCTGCTTTCCCAACGCCGTATTTATTTGAGTTAGAAAAATAATGAGGTCCCTGAGGTCGCACACAACACATCGGATCTCTAATCAAAGTATTGCTGTGGAATTAAACATATATAGGAACCTGTGTGTGCTGGTGCAGGAGCAGCCGGCCGCAGACACGGGGCACGCTCGCCTGTGGCCACTCAGCCCCCCCACACTGGCCGCTGGGGAGGGAGGTAATTAGCTATTTTCTGGAAAAGTCTCTGGGGTGGAGAACAGAATGGAAATGCCCATGGTCCTCCCCAGTGGGGGGCTGCGGGATGGAGTGCAGCCCACTCAGAAGGCATCCTGGGGTGAAGTGAAAGAGAACTGAGGGCTGGATCCCACCTGGCTGGCTGCGACCAGGGTGGGGCCTCGGGGGCACCTGGTGGGAGCCCAAATTGGGTGTAAAGGACAAGGAAACCATCAGATAGGAGATCACTCAGGGTGCACCCAGCCTGAGGGGCCAATGGACCCCACTGTTTAAACCCCAGTGTGTCCCCCTGTACGCCGAAATTCCTGTCCACCAAGAACCTCAGCAATAAGGTCTTTGCAGATGAAATCAGCTACAGATCTCTGATGCTCTGAGCAATGGGCCCTCCATCCAACAATCGGTGTCTTTATAAGAGAAATGAGATTAGGACACAGAGAGGCACAGAGAGGCACAGAGAGGAGGAGGCCCAGTGAGGACAGAGGCGGAGACTGGAGTGATGTGGCCACAAGCCGAGGAACAGCTCCGGCCACCAGCAGCTGAAGGAGACCCAGAAGGTTTTGTAGGAGCAAGAAGACACCTTGATCTCGGCCTTCCGACCCCCAGAACCGTGAGAGGGTATATTTCTGTTATTTTAAGCCCCCCAGTTTGTGGCCACCCGTTACAGCAGCCTCAGGAAGCCCTTCTGGGGACCTGCCTCACTTGGAATTAAACGCGGACTCCTGGCTGTGGCCCCAGGCTCCTCGGAGCGTGGCTCCCGCCTCCCTAGGCCTTCTTGTCCACGATTCTCCCTCTTGCCCTGTGGTCAGATGCACACCTGCCTCTCGGCCTTTGCCTGTGCTGTTCCACCTGCCTGCAGCTCTTCCCAGCACCAACTCACTTGAACCTCAGCCTACAGACCAGGCCTCCCCTGCGACCTGCCCCACCCCAGCTTGATTTTTCTGTATATCCCTCGTCACAGCGCCACGCCCAGGCTCGCGTTTGTTCAGTGTCTGTCTCTCCAGGACATCAGCTCCACGAGCGCAAGGATGTTTTTTCTCATCCACTCCGGTGCCCAGACCGGGTCACACTTACTGGAGGCGCTCGATCAAAAGTGCAAAACGTGCCAAAACCGGTGTGGCTCAGTGGATAGAGCGTCGGCCTGCGGACTGAAGGGTCCCAGGTTCGATTCCGGTCAAGGGCATGTACCTGGGTTGCGGGCACATCCCCAGTGGGAGATGTGCAGGAGGCAGCTGGTCGATGTTTCTCTCTCATCGATGTTTCTAACTCTCTATCCCTCTTCCTTCCTCTCTGTAAAAAATCAATAAAATATATTTAAAAAAAAAAAAAGTGCAAAACGAATCAGTGAATGAACAATGGTGAAGTCCATCACCCTCATCCCTCCAGGCCTCTCCCGGCTCTCGCCTTGCCCTGGGGGCTTGTGGGGTGCTGGGGTTGGGGGGTTCTGGTTTCAGAAGGGTGGCCGTTCCTCTAAATTTGGCCAGTCCTAAAGCAGAAGGATTGCAGGGCCTTCAGGTCTGTGAAGAGCAGAGGGCCCCCCCCTCCTGTCCCACCTGGCCTCCCACCTGGCCTCCCTGGCCTGCCTGGGCCAGAGCAGTGCAGCTGTTGACATTTACAGAGTCTTGGGGTGGAGGGGGGACCACGGGGGTTTGCAGAGCTGGTGTGCATGTGTGCATGTGTGCGAAAATGTGTGCTAGGGTGTGAGAATTTGTATAAATGTGTGTGTGATTGTGTGAGAATTTGAGATGTGTGAGTTTTTGCACATTTGATCTAGTGCCTCCGGTGTGTCAGACCCTGTGCTGGGCACCAGGGGCCTGGGGGTGAAAGAGATAAAAATCCCTGCCTGGTGCTCGCTTAGGCAGCACCGATGCTGAAATTGGACCGATACAGAGATAGATTAGCACGGCCCTGCACAAGGATGACACGCAAGTTCCAAGTTCGTGAAGCGGTCCATGTAAAAAAATCCTGCGTGGGGCTGGCATCATGGAGAGACAGACACTGAACAAGCCTGTGTGTGTGTGTGTGCGTGTGTGTGTGTGTGTGTGTGTGTGTGTGTGTACCTGTGCGTGTGAAGTAGCAATAAGTGTGAAGGGGTGGGAGTGAGTGGTGGTGTGAGAATCTGAGGTTGTGAGCGTGTGTGGGTGTGTGAGAGTGTGTGGATGTGTGAGGTGTGTGAGAACTTGAGGGGGCTGTGCAAGACTGGGTGAGGGTGAGAAGGTGATTGTGTGAAGGTGAGAGTGTGTGGGTGTGCAGGAGTGTGTGAGGATGCCAGAGTGCCTGATTGTGTGAGAATTTGAGAATGTGAGTGGATGAGAATTCGAGGGTATGTGACTGTGAGAATGTGCGACTGTGAGAATTTGAGGGTGTGAGTCTATGTGTGTGAGAATGTGTAGCTGGATGAGAATTTGTGTGAATGCGTGGGACTGAATTTGAGGGGTGAGAAGGAGTGTGAGCACATGCCTGTGTGAGTGCTTGTTGGGGGCCCGGCGACCTGTTTGCTCAGGGCACACCTGGACCTGGGCCTCCCTCCCGCAGGGTCCACATCACTCCACTCCTGCCCCCTCCTGCCCGAATTTACCCTTCTCCTCGGGGTTCCTTCTCTCCTCTTCTCTTCAATCTTTTTTCTTCTCTTTTTGGACTTTGACTTCACATTGAGGTTCTGGGGCCTGTCCCCCCATCCCCTGTCTTTCTCCCCCGCAACCCCCAAGGAGGGTCAGAGGGCAGGCGGGAGGCAGGGCCACCACCTCAGAGTCTTCTGCGCCCAGGAGGTCTCGGATCCTCCAGGTGCGCAGGGGAGGCCCAGGGCGGCCCTGGGACCAAGGAGGTGGGAGGAGGGAGACGGGAAGGGGGGGGGGCAGGGGAGGCCATGCTGCTGCCTGGGCAGACTGCCCCCGCCCGGAGGAAGGGGAAGGGGCACTGGAAACTGACCCTCTGCCTGGCGGTCTCAGCCCTGGCTGCATATTACTGTCACCTGGGGGAGCTATAGAATGTCTCCTGTCCTGGTGACCGCCCCCCCATCCTCCTCCCCCAACCCCCACCCACCACCCCCAGCCCTGCACCACCAGCTGGAAGTACAGGGTGGGAGCAGAGATGGGCAGCGTTCCCAGTCTCCACACTATTGACACTGGGGACCCGATCAACCTCTGGGGCAAGCCCCTGTGCGCACTGTGGTGTGTGTGGAGCAACATCCCTGAACTCCACCCATCAGATGCCAGTAGCTCCCTCTCTCCCAATCCGACAACCAAATACCTCTCCAGACATGGCCAGTGTGCATGTGGGCTTGGGGGACACGTGGGCACCATAATTCAAACCCTGTACTGTCTCCCAGGGCCCCCCAAAGCTCTGGGTTGGGTGGGGGGGGAGCTTTCTTTTTGCAACATGCTCCTCAGAAGCCCCTAGGGCAGTGGTTCTCAACCTTGGCTGTACATTAGAATCACCTGGGAATCTTTTTAAAATCCTGATTTCTGGGCCTCCTACTCCGGAAATTCTGTTTCTTTGTTACTAATGTTGTGGCCCCAACCCACAACAAAAAAAAAAACACTCAGAATTTCTGGAGGATGAGGCCCAGAAATCAGGATTTTAAAAAGATTCCCAGGTGATTCTAATGTGCAGCCAAGGCTGAGAACCACTGCTCTAGGGCAACAGAAGGAACGTGGGCCCAGGCTTGGAGGGGACTGCGAGCCCAGGGTGACATAAATGGGGGTGGGAGCCCCCTCAGCTGCGCTTAGCACTGGCTGGCTCTGGAGGAAGTGGTTTCCACCTGCCTTCTCAGCAGCTCTGCCCCACGGCGGCAGATTAAGAATCAATTAAGAGCGGGAAGGAGGATTTGCCAGGCGGAGGCGGGAGAGCTGGGGGCATTGGGTCGCAGGATGGATGGGGGTGACTGGCAGGGGCTGGGGGCTCAGCCGGCACAGCGCCCCCCCCCCCCCCGCCCGCCGCCCCGGGCAGTGAGGGGGTGGCTCCCTGAGACTGCAGTCCGGAGAGCCGGTGAAACAAGGCCCGTTTGGTGGGTTGTTGTGAAGACTTAAATGTGTACAGCTCTTAGGTGGATACAAATTCATCTTGTTTGGTTCAGCAAACACTTATCTATCGCCCGGTGCTAGGTGAGTCTGCGCTAAATAAAAACAAAATGAACGCTGGCGCTAAGCCCCACGCCCAGCAAATGTGGCTGATGGCCGCGTGGAGACACTGCGGGCCCCCACCCAGGTCCGGGCCAGGGCACCCGTCTTCCACCTGCTTCGGGGATTGGCTGCCAAGGGCTCCCACCTCCCTTTCTCTGGAGAATGTCGTCTGCTCATGGGAGTCCCCTTCCCTAGAGATGCAGGGGGGCTGTTCCCTCCCCCCAGGTGCAGCCCACAGCCCATGGCTGTCTGATTGAGGGTGAGAAAGGCCAGCCCCCAGGCCTCTAGTTGGGACCACTGCCTGATGCAATCCACCCTCCAGAGCTCCCCAGGGATCAGGCCCAGCTGAAAGGACCGGCTGGCCTGGCCGAGCCCCTCCCTCTGCCCCGTTCTGCTTCCCTTTCTCTCTCTGCCAAGAGTCCAGGCCCCAACATCACAGGCCTCTGAGGCCCTGTGCTTCTAGGTAGGTGCTATGGACTGAAGGTTTGTGGTCCCTCCAAATCTATATGCAGATGCCCATCGACTGACCACGGGGTTAGTCCTAATTAAAACCCAGCGTGAGCTGAAAATATCCTAAGTCAAAAATGCATTTAATACACCTAAACCTACCAAGATCATAACTTACCCAGCCCTCAAGGTGTTCGGGACCCTGACATTAGCGACGGTTGGGCGGCTATGTGGCTTCATCCCAAGGCGTTTTGCACACACGATGGAAAATGAAAACACAAAGCACAGTGACCAGAAGGCCCTGGCCACACAGCACGCGGCGGAGTGTGGGTGGTTTGCCCTCGTGGAGGCCTGGCTGGCTGGGAGCGCCGGTCCTGCCAGCCTGGGGGCAGATCACAGCTCAGAACTCGAAGTTCAGTGTCTATTGAACACGATACACTTTCGCACGATCGTAAAGTTGAAAAATCCAAACTCAACCCATTGTAAGTCAGAAAAGTCTTAACGCCCAATGTGATGGCATGAGGAGATGGGGGTCTTGGGGGGGGGGGGGCGATGAGGTTTATATGAGGCCATAAAGGGGGAGGTCCATGATGGGATGAGTGTCATCTTAGTGTCCCTATTGGAAGAGGAAGAGACCAGCTCCCTCTCTCTCCCTCTCCCCTTGATCTTGGACTTCCAGCCTCTGAAATTGTGAGAAATAAATGTCTGGTGTTTAAGCCCCTCAGTCTATGGTATTTTGTTATAGCAGCCCCATCTGACTTAAATGGAAGGGAACCTAGCCTAAGACAGTCGCCTTAATAATATGCAGAGCCCGCTAAGCACACCAGTTCTAATGTCAACTGAATCCCATCCCCTCCAAGCTCCAAGCTGACTTCCTTGTGCCCTCACAATTCCAAATCTTATTTCTATTTTTTCAATCATTTTTTTCCATTAGTTTTTAGAGAGAGTGGAAGGGAGAGAGACAGAGAAACATTGATGTGAGAGAAACACATCGATTGGTTGCCTCCTGAGCATGCCCTGACCAGGGCTCAGGCCGGGGAGGAGCCTGCAACTGAGGTATGTGCCCTTAACTGGAATCAAACCCGGGACCCTTAGGTCCGCAGGCCGATGCTCTATCCACTGAGCCAAACTAGGTAGGGGCCAACTCCTATTTCTATCTAATCACATCATAGTCCTGTTCCCTACCTCTTATCTTTCCGAATTCCCCTTGCCCTCTTCAGCCAAGATGATCCTTTTTAATTTGTAATGATTTGTCTGATCAATAATATATTCACATGTTCAAAAAGTATTAAATACACACAGAGGTGTTCTTTGAAAGCTCTCCCTTCTTGCCCTCGTCCCCTAGTTTGCAAACCCCCAACGGATGTCCGCTATTATCAGAATCAGATGTATCTTGCCACATTGTCTTTATGCAAATACTGGCAAAATAAGAATTTATTTTCCTACTTTTCTGCCCCCTTTTTACAGAAAAAAATAGCAGATGTTATGTTCTATTCTACCCAGAAAAATCTTTTTAAAGAATAAATAGCCCTGACCGGTTTGGCTCAGTGGATAGAGCATCAGCCTGCGGACTCAAGGGTCACGGGTTCGATTCCGGTCAAGGGCGTGTGCCTTGGTTGCGGGCACATATACCCAGTGGGAGTGTGTAAAAGGCAGCTGATTGATGTTTCTCTCTCATCAATGTTTCTGACTCTCTATACCTCTCCCTTCCTCTCTCTAAAAAATCAATAAAATATATTTTTAAAAAAGAATAAATAAGGTTATGGGTCTCCTCTGCTCAAAATCCTCCTAAGCTTTGACCTGGGCATGTTGGGCAGGGCATTCTGGATGACGTGTGCCCTGTTGTCATCTAGTGCAGGGTGTTATGTGTCCTGCTCCCACATCCAAGTGCCATTAGCAACCCCAGGCACTGCGACAACACCAAACTCTTTTTTTAAAAAATATTTTTTATTGATTTCAGAGAGAGAGGGAGAGAGAAATAGAAACATCAATGATGAGAGAGAACCATTGACCGGCTGCCTCCCGCACACACACCCCTGGGCATCAAGCCCGCCACCCGGCCATGTGCCCTGACCGGGAATCAAACCACGATCTCCTGGTTCATAGGTTGATGCTCAACCACTGAGCCACACTGGCCCGGCTACACCAAACTGTTGCACAATCCCCCCCCCTCCCCCAGAGGTGGTATCCCTCTCGTTGAGAACCACTGCAGCCCTTTCCAGCCTCTCTGTGGCCCCACTCCCTCGGGCTCCCTCCACTCTGGCCACTCTGGCTTCCTCACCGTTTTCTGAACACCCGGGCACGCGCCCACCCCGGAGCCTCCCCCAGGCCGCTCCCTCTCCTGGATTCTCTTCCCCAGATACTCATTGGCTCACTGCTTTCTGGT